TTTTGTTGGGATAAGAAAATCGGCCCACCTGGCTCTGACCAATAAGCCATCCTTGCAAAAACGGGAGCTCCCAATGCGTGGGGTCACCGAATGGAAAGAACTGATTGGCTGCTTCCTCGGCTTGCCCATCCACGACATTCGTAGAAGGCTGATAGGTCGAAGTATTATCTGTTTCTCTATGTAAAGAGCTATTATTGGTATTGTTATTGTTATTGCTATCATCATTATTGATGTTATCTTGAGGTTCTTCTCGAGCGGGAGATTGGATTGGGGATAGAACGAGTTCGTACTGTCCAGAAGGAGTCGAGTATGTGAGGAGACGAACAGAGGTTGAGGAATCAGCTCTCTGTGGCTGGATGACATCCTGCTGTTGTGAGGTGGGACCCGACTCACCTCGACCGAGTGAAGGGAATATTAGAAAAGGCATTGAAACAAACGGCGACTCGTTTCCCGAGTTTGAATGATAAGGTGGGTTGGGGTCTGCGACGTATATGGTGGGTGGGGGGTAGCGTGAGTAACCCGCGCAGGTGGCGATTGTCATTGTGGGGTCCGATGAGTTGAGATCATTAACCTGAAAACACAGTGGGAACTGTTATATTTGAGAATATGATTTCCAAATAGCAACAGAACTTACAAAGAACTTGTTATGGTAGGAGACTATGACGTGTTTTGGAATTTTTAAAGATATGTACATGCTAGTAATTTTATAGTTTTATACTTTAAGAAAGTTAATATTTGTACCATAAAAGACTAAATACTCAATTCTCAAAATTGGTAAGTCCTTAGGCACATAAAAGGAAAACATACTGAAAATATGAGCAACAGAAATCAATTTCTTTCTCTCAGTCCCACTTTATTATCCTCACATTCTACATCTATTTTTATCTCTCAGTCCCACGTTGTTCTCCTCACATTCGATATCTATTTTCATATCATCTTGGACGTGGGATGCATATGAATTTTTATAGACAAGGCTTTGTTATTAGTTATTACAGTCAAAGCCTGATACGATTACGTCATCCTCATAGAGGTGGAGAACAATATACCTCAGCAGTTAGAAGTAATGGTGCACCATGCGGGTGGAAATGCACTGCACGAAGGGAGCGTCGTGTTCTCAGAATAATCATTGGTGACGAAGCTTCACCTCTCCTGCTGTAGTACCATATATAGAGCTTCCAGATATGCAATATCAATAAAACTTCCATTTCCATATAATTATTTAGTCGGATGCCAACTGTTACATGCTAAAAAAACTTCTAACCTTGTGGCCTGAAGCTACCGCCAGAAATTCCCCTTGTGCGTGGAAGGCAATTGAAGCAATTGGACGATCTGCATATGGAATATTCGTTAAATGGAGATGATTTGCCAAAAGAAGAAATAAACGAGTAAATAAAGCTAAAACAGAAAAGCTAATGTTTATGTGTTTATTACAAAAATCCCGTGATCCAATACAAGCTGCAGTCTTTGCATCCCACAGACGAACTTCATGGTCTAAGCTTCCGCTTGCCACAACTTCAGGATAAAGAGGATGGAACCTAACCTGTAGAAACCTCATTTAACAAGCTAGTAAATCAAGCATTAACAGCTTTATTCCTTCAACTTTCTTATTCTTTTTTAATACTCAGATTATAATTTAACACATTAGATGCTTTTAAACACTCGGATCAATACAATAAGACAGCTTACCACCCAAGGCGTCCTGCGATGACCAGTCAACACCTTTAAACATGTTCCCGTTTGACAATCAATTATCTTCACTGTGTGGTCCCCACTGCAAGTTCAATGATAATGTGAGTTCAACTATACCAAATAATTTCACATATATACAAGAGAGAGAGAGAGAGAGAGAGAGAGAGAGAGAGAAAGAGTATAACTGGGTTGAAGCAAGTGTCTTTCCATCAGGACTAAAAGCTGCTGCAATTGTAGACCTCGGTGGAGGCTGTAACGGACAATACTTAGCTGATAAGTGAAGTAATGACTCGGCTTCAGCCCTGATGTTAGGATTCGAAGATCTAATTATTCTTATAGCGCCATAAAATGTAATTTAAGACATCACAGAGAAATAAACAGAAATATTGTAAATACCACGATCGAAGTTCTTGTCTAGCATCTTTAGCTATTTCACTTTTTAAGCAACAGGAATCAACTTGGTCACCGGTCACCTTTACCCAAAATCTTTTTGGAGTTTTCTTTGTTTGAGGGGATAACTCCCTCCGAGCTAACAATTTAAATACATTACTGCAAATAGAAATTTAACATGTCAAACCCAGTAGGTACATAATTCCAAGCAAAATTATGCAAAAACTGCCAAAACAATTAGGCGCTCATCTACATTTACATAGTTCATAAGAATATGAATATAAAGAAACAAAATCATAAAAAAAATAATAATAACACAAGCACATATACGATGACAATCAAAATGCAAAGAAGAGATAACAAATATAAAATAAAACCTAAGATCATTGGAATTTCTCATCAGATTACAAGTATGTGTCACTTGACGTTCGGAACCAAAAACAAACTATAATCGAGCTTTTGGTATCTTAGGAAATGGTGAAGTTGCCGGTGATCAAAATAATCAATACAAAGGGCCACACAAGTCGGTAAATATCTCGCATCCAGTAACATAATACAAGAAAATTGTTACTAATTTGATTAACAAAATTCTACCCCATGTAGAATGCAACAACAACCTCCATGCATGATTTGCTACACATCTAATTCAAGTTTCGGTATCATTGTACACACAACTAGAACTTTCTAGAAGCTTATTCACAAAAATCATAAGATATCAATGAACAAGAATAATGCTGCTTAATCAAAAACAATTTTTTTTTTTTTTTTTTTTTNACCTAGAAGTCTATAATGGAGGTTAGAAACAAGGAAATTGTTATACATTTGACCAAAAAGGACACCAAGAAGTTTTATATTCTTGCAAACTCCAAGAAGGTGTCTAAGTTTACGGACACTGATATACAATAATCAACTGATCTTGCAAATCAACTCAGAATCAACTGAATTTCATGCTCGAGAGATTGTCCAGATGTATGGTAAGTAATATCACATCGATGATCAAGGCTCTTGCAAAATAATTGAGAACAGTTGAATTCCAATCTTATTAGATTATGTAAATCTGACTGCAAGTACGATCTAAATAAAAACGCACCTTCAAATTAATTTCGGGGCAGTTTTACATTAACAAAACTATAAGCATACAATTAAAGATTCTGCATGGATTACAATTTTCTAAAGCCTTTAGCTGTTCCAACCAAAAATCACTGCCATCCATCAAGAATTGAAAGAAAAAGCTTCATACAATCCTGTTCCCAATTTTTATTATTAAGAAAAAGAAGAACATAACAAAAATTAAAATCGAAACAAAATGCTGGATTTTCAATCTAAGCATGCAGCTCGGCACACCAAATATTCAGTTTAACTGGATTCAAGCAGGTCACCAAAAAATAATAATATAGAAAACGAAGGAGAAAATCTCAGACAGAAAAAAACAATATCAATTAAATACAGACGAATTCCGGATCGGAAATGCTAAATTGAGGTGATAATAGTGCGCAAGATTCAACCTCTGGCCCGAACTCATATCTTTCGCAGAATTGGGCGGCGGAGCGGAGGCGGCTGGCGCTGAATTCTCCGATCTCATCGACGATGACCTCATAATGAGTTGTGAATTCCCAATTTAAATATACAATCCAATACATAAATCCATCTGGTATATTAACGGAGCTGGATTACATTCAGATACATCCGTAATACGGAGAAAGTGAAGAAAATCGGGTTCTGTAACAGAGGTCTGGATTTCAGTTGGGTTGTCCGGAAACTGCCTCTGGATTCGGAGCAATATTACGAGGACCTAATGGGGAATGGGATCTCGGAGGTGAGGGTAAAATGGGGAGGAAAAAGATTGGTAGAAGAAAGGAGAAAAGACAGTGGGGCTGGCTGGAGCGTGGGGTTATGGCTTTTTCCGGCTATTCGGACAGTGATATACTTGTTTTCTCTTAAATTACGATATTCACATCAGGTTAAGGTTTTTTCCCTACATGATAGAATCGAATGCTGGTGAATGGCATTGTGTGCGTGAAAATCAAAATCTATATACATTCTCAAAATTTAATTTAACTTTAATGTATTTTTATTGTTATTATTATTATTAATATAATTTTATAATACCAATCAATTATTCTTACACATCACATCAATATTAATCTATCTATATATATATAATAAAATCTATACTTATATAATAAGAATTAACATTTATCCAAAATAGTAGGTCAAATTATGGTCAATGTCGGATTTGCATTAAATATTTTCCAAAACCGGTAAGTTTTTGTCCTTTTCACACTTCTCATTAATTATGTCTTTTTCACACTTCTCATTAATTATGTCCTTTTCACACTTCTCATTAA